TTCAGAAGAATCAGATTCATCTTCCGTAAAGCCAGAAGTGTTCTCTTCAATCAAGGCCTCAGCATGAGAACGAGCACCAACTGGTGAAGCTGAGATCTCAACTTGGTTTGAAGGAGCTGCTTCATACTCCAAGAATTCACCAGACTCAGCAGGCAAATACACACATTTACTCCTCTTTGCTTTGCAAACAACTCCCGTCTGCTCCACTCCTGAAACAGAAGTATAAACAGTAGCACTGTCAGGTGGCAAGGACTGTGGAACAGCTAATTTTGCACTATTCTGCAAAACTTGGACAAGAGGACGACGTTTATCAGGTCTCTTGGCCAAAAGTTCATCACTCAATCCCTCATGTGAACTTTTCATTTGCTCTAAAGAATTTTTACCGTTCACATGATTTGTTCCTCCCATGCTAAGACCACCACGAGCAAGAGCTTGAACAGTACCATCAACTGTGGGTTTCCAAGAACCATTTAAAGCAAGAGAAGATGAAAGTTTTCGCTTTGAAGGGGCAATTTTGAGACCAAAGTCCTGCAAGCCTCTCATCCGAGGTATGGCCTCAGCATGATCATCTTCACCACTCAGTTGATTTCCCTCTTTGGTTCTTTGGGAAGATGGAGGACCGCCTATAATATCATTTCTATGAGACGTGTCCAATCGCTTAGAAAACTGATGTGATTTGGAATTTCCAGGTTTTACATTGTCATTTCCCAAACTTTCGGAAGATATAACTAACTCCTTTTTCACAGCACCAGATAATTTACTGTTCAAGCGTTCAGAAGTTATACCTAACTTTCCTTGTTTTCTCAACAGCTGCTTCTCAAGTTCAAGCGCATGAAGAATAGCATCTTCTCGACGTGCATATTTCTCTCTTTTCTTCACAGGCATACCCTGAGATGATTCAGCCTTCTCAATACAATCATCAAACTCACCGCATCGAAACGCCTTAACACGCTTGGATTTTTCCAAATTGTACCAATCACTGAGAAGAAATACCACGGAATATCATTACTAAAACAGTTGGTAAAATCAAAGCTGTAAGTAGAAGAATCAGTAAGTATGAACAATGGGAGTTATATTTTGTTACAACTCTCCAGTTTGAAAAGAGAAGACGACCCTCTTATAATAACATTTTAATAAAATCCATGGTACATAATTTCTATATTTTTGTGCCACTAGGTGGATAAGGCAAAGGGGGCAGAAGGCCTGAACCATGATTCTGCTAAATAGTTCTAAGGTGCCAACCAATTGTATGTACAATGAAACTTGATTGATTAAAATGGCATAGCAAAACGTGATATAATGGGGTTTCAGTGCTGGGTTTTAAAATTTCCGTTGATGCTAAAACCCTATAAACGAGTTTGACCAATGAGTTGCAGTAAGTTTCTGGTATGGGTTTCTACCTCTGCTCCAACATGTTGTCCTAAGCTTTTGTGATTTCTTCAAGTAAAGCAGCAAAAGCGCTATTTTAGCTCATGTATACAATAAAACGGAGAAGACACTCAGTAAAGTAATTATTTTTCTCGTTTCTACATAAATATCCAATCACAACCCAAAACGCCCACAGTAACATGAAATGGTTTCAAAAGACACCATTAAGAAAAATTTAGGGAAGAACTATGAGAGACATACACACTGGCATCTTCTCTACCGAGAAGCTTGACGGGGGTCCCAGAACGAGGCGACGTGAGATGCGAAGCGGAGAGCTCTTCTGGGCCCACTATCTTCCCCGGCCACCACGACCCGTTCCTCCTCCTCACCCAAACGATCGATCCTACGCTGAAATCGCCCGTACCAGATTCCGTACTCCCCATAACACACATACACTCACGCACTCTATATCTCTCTTTTCTCTGTCTCGCTATATCTCGCTGTGTCTCTCGGTTGCTCTCTTTCTGTGAACAATAGAGGAGTCGGAGTTTGACTCAGCCTCCAGCAAAGAACAGTGAAGAACGGATGATCCGAAGATAGACGAAAATGGAGGGTCCAATTTGAGGGATTCGGGTTGGGGCTAGGGTTTCCATTCAGAATTGGGGATTTTTCATTTCTATGCTTTATTTTATTTGTTTTCTGCTCTTTCTCTCTCCGGAAGCCTATGTTTTTTTCCTCTCTGTAAATTTTTTATTTTTTATTTTTAATCAAAATTTCGAAATTAAAATACTCGGGACTCTGTGTACATAGTTTTTGTGACGGTTTGTTTGTTTGAAGAAGCTGGGCTAAGGCTAAGGCTAAGCAGCCAAGCAAAAGAGTGGGGTCTGTTTGTCTGTGTCTTGTGGCTTGTGGCCTGTGGAGGAAATAGTACGAGTTTTGTGGGCAAGCTCCGAAGCAACGCGTGCTGCGCAAGCTTTCAGTTTTTAACACGTGGATTGCTACAACTTTGGGCTCCGATCTTTTACGATTTGGGCCTTTATAGGCCTGCCTGCACTTCTGACCTTTCGAAACCTAGCTTGTTCACATTCTAGGCCTGCCTAATCTCTATGAATGTCCACTTGGGCCCAATTGATAATGTGAAATATATAACTTTGGACTTAGCTCCAATTAACCCTAACTAAACGATATTAGAAACTAATGTGCGGGAAGAAGGATTGAACTCGGGTGCAATAAGGGTACACACTAACTTTGTCAGCTGATGTAACTCTCATCTGTCTATATAAAGGGTACACATAGATATTATGAATTCCTCAATTTCTTTCTTATTCTCTTTATCCGATGTCACGTATACATATAATACAATGACATAAGCATGCTATCTAATCTTAAGATGGACATTTAAAACAATGAAATTAGAAGTCCATCAACAAAATGATCTATTTGGTTTATCTATGCACCTTTATCTTTAGTTTGTTTCAAATAAACCATTATGAAAAACACACATAGATTTGCTCATATTCTGTTTAGTTATGCATGCCAAAAAGTGTGAGTGGCCAGAAGTTTAAATATCAAACTTCCCTCCATTAATGAATTGATTTTCCAATTCCTGTATTGAACAATAAAAAGTCATAAGATTTAATACAATTCACACGAGACATGATAAACATAGTACTTACTTAAGACAACATTTAAAATAAACGTCAAAATGGTTTCTTAAAATAGTTGAGAACCTTTGATATCATATCGCACCACTTGAGATGCTATCATCTAATATTAATTTAAATGGATAACGTGTAAAGAGGAAGCCAAAAAGATAACTCATATGAAATTGCATATAGAAATAAGAGCTCGATAAGATACAACATACTAGACAGTGATGGAATCAAGATTTTGCATTAGAGGGACCCTTCATAAAATTTTATAAAACAATTTGAATATGAGCACTCAAGCGCTAACTAAATAATAAGTTAATATGATACTATTAGGGGTGTCTAGACCCCCCGCTTGATTTGTGTTGGTTAGTTAGTTTTGTTTGTTTGGGGTGTATATATATATATGATACTAACTACTCGATTTAGCTCGTTTCATAATATCATTTCGTATTGATTAATAATTTATTCATTCATTACAATCATAATTGTCTTTAATTTTATAAAATGGTTGAATATTAATCTCATCATCTACACTATTAAAGAAATATAAAAAATTCATAATCCCAATATTAAAGTACCCTACTCATACTGTAAAAAGGGAGGGGAAAAATCACAAAGCTCAAGCTTAAATTAAACAAAAGAGGAAGAGAACGAGAAGGAAAAAAATTAGGAGTTTTTAGTGTAAATATCATAACATAACCTAGTAGATTTAATTGAAAGTAAAAGATTGATTATGGAGTTTAATGGTTAATTTGTAGACCAAAAAAAAACAAAGTTTATTTTATAGTAAATATCCCAAATATAATATAATATAGGGATATGATTTCCCCACTCCCATTTTCTCCACTTACACTCCCTTTTGCTTTTTAATACTTTTTAATCAATTTTGTTATTTCTCTTTCCTATTCTACCATTACCCTACATTAATTTCATTTTACTTCACCTTTATATTAGTTATTTTTCTTTATACTTAAATTTTCAACTTGCACTCCATTTTCAATAATTTTTTTTCCTTTAATCGAGTAAGAAATTATGTTTTTTTTTTCCCCTATAGTACTAAAAACGGAGTGTAAGTTGAAAAATTAAGCATAAAGAAAAATAAACAATATAAAAGTGAAGTAAAAAAGAAATTAATGTAGGGTAAGAATATAATAGGAAAGAAAAATAACAAAATTGATTACAAAGTATTAAAAAGCAAAATGGAGTGTAAGTAGAGAAAATGGAAGTGGGGAGATCAGCTCCCATAACATATTACAATATTTATATCATATATAATATTTAAATGCAAAGTGTAAACAGATTGAGGGGAGGTGGTCTGGGATCAAACTGGATCCCTAGATAGCTCTGCCCTAATACTGGATCAATGGGTTGTGGGGAAATAAATTAGGTTTTTATTTATTAGTGGTTGGTACTACGAAGACATGTGGGAAGTTACAAAATCTAAAGACATATTATAATATTTTTATACGAGCAGATTGAGGGAGGAGAGAATTGAACATAGGACTTTGGGTGTAAAAATAAATATTTTTAATAAGTTGAGCTACAAGCTCCTTGTAGATGTATGATCATATTAGTTATTAAGGTTATGCGATTTACATTTAATTAATTTTTTCTAATTCCTAATTAATTAAAACAAAGGTTGTGAAATTATAATATTTTGGAGAAAGCCTAGGTTAATATTTTTTTTAAAAAACCTTAACTATTCACTGAACAAGTGCAATTCTAAATTTGTTAAATGTGATGTGCATCCTCCCAAATGCGAATTTTCCATACTTTTTGCTGATGTCCGCGATTACACAATTATGCCAATACTTACCCACGTGACCCAAGTTTATAATTTATTCACTTGCTAAAAAAAGAAAAGAAAAAGAAATTGTTGTCAATAATTTCAAATTTCAAATCCGCGCCCCAACGGTCATAATTTCTAGGGTTTTCCAAACGTCTCTCCTGGTCTTGCCCATACGTAGGGCTATACATGTATAAATATCCCCAATCGCTCTCTCATTCTCTCAAACGCTTCAACATTTGTCACTCGATCTGTAGCCGTCTCTCTTGCGAAGACCAAAACAGCTTGTTTTGATCATCTAGGGTTTCCCGTACACTATGGATTTCTCCGGCCTCACAAGAAAGGAGCTTCAGGCTCTGTGCAAGAAGAACAAACTCCCAGCTAACCTCACCAATGTCGCCATGGCAGATTCTCTCAAGGCTCTTGAACACGTAATACTTTTATCCCCCTTTTTCTTCATACCTATTTGATATTTTATTATTGTGGATTTAAAATATGTTTGGTTGCCAAGAAAAGTGATATTGGAAATCACCAAAATCAGTACATTTTCAGATTCAGATCTTCTGGGAATTGCTGTGTTTGATTTGGATTCTCTAATATACTTTTCTTTAAAAACTTTATAATTAATCACATGTTCTACATTCTTTAACATAATAGATTTGAAATCCGTTTGGTTGCCAAGAAAAGTGATATTGGAAGTCACCAAAATCAGTACATTTTCAGATTCAGATATTCTGGGAATTTCTCTGTGTTGGTTTGAATTCTCTAATATACTATCTCTCTACGAACTTTCTAGTGTGAACCACATGTTCAACATTCTTTCATGTTTGGTTGGTGATAAATGACCGGAAAAAGAAAAAACCTATATAATCATTCATTAATGTTGGGTTGAGCTCAGTAGTTATGGGGCTAGCTAACAGATCTAACGCCTTACAAACCTCTATAATATTGCTCACCTAAATTCATAATTTCTCAACATAAATTAAACAGGGGAATCGTAGAACATCCTTTTCGGTTTGGATGCCGAGAATCACAAGAAAATAAAAGAGTCTATCAACATACAGTTGTTTTGATCCTGTTTTCCCATCATCTGAACATTCTTTCGATTTCAAACAACACGCTGGATGGATTTATTAATTTATTGGAATCTGACTGTTCTGCAAATCACTGTACCAGGTGGAAGGGCTTGAAGAGTTCCTGAACCAATCCAAATCGGATCCCCAGCAATCTCCGGAGAAAACCATGAATGGATCACTAAGTATCCCTCGTACTGCCGGCAGAACCTCGACTCGTAGAAAGCCCATCCAAGTAGAACCAGAAAGCTCACAGCCATTGACTCAAAGTCGCCGCGGAGCGAGGAGAGCCGTTTCTGAAGAGATGGACCAAGAAAAGACTGAGGTGCCTAAAACTCCTGCCGCACCAAATACCCGGAGAAGGGCTCCCGCTGCTTCTGCTCGACAGAACACCACACAGAAGGAGAATCCTTCGGTGCAGAGCGTCTATAACACAAGGCGATCGGTGAGGCTGCTGGAAAAGAACATGGCAAAGTTGAGCTTGGATTATGAAAACAGTATGTCTTTTAAGATGGATGAACTTTCCACAGAAATCAACAATGGCTCAGTTGATATGGGTAAGTCCAGCGTTGCATTCATTTGATGATTTACACTAGCACTACACAGATATCAATTTTTGTTCGTGTAGCTTAGACCGTTTGGTTTCTGGATAACTATAAGTAGTGTAAGATGGGGTTATATAACATGCGGTTGACTTTTTAATCAACTAGTTGTAATGTTTCTCAGAAATATATTGGAAGGAAAATTATGTTATCTGACATAGTTCATGGTATGGTGTGAAACAGGGTCTAATATGCAGACGATATCAGAGGTGAGTTCAGAGAGGGTTGATGTTTCTGAAGTTTCATCGGAACCAAAATCAAATGGACCATTTGAGAATGAAGGGAAGTTGAAAGATGATGTTCAAGAACCTAACAAGACTGATATGATTAAAGTAAAAGATGATTCAAAGGTAAAATCAGAAGTGGAATCTGGGGTATCCGAACCAAAATCAGCCTCAGATGTCATTGTGGATGTATCTCACGAAGAGGGGTCAGACGAAACAGATGACAAGGGTAAGTTCAATTGCATTTTATGTATTACTACGGCCAGGATGTTTGTTCATCTGATTTCATGGTTTTCTCAATTCAATTCTTGTGGTTCCTTTTCGTTGAACTTATTTGAATCTGTTTGTGATTGCTACAGAACCTCATGACGAAGGAACAGAAAAATCTATAGCTGCCAAAGTTTCTGATGATATTTCTGCTGAGGTCATGTGCAATGCTAATGCTGCTCAATTTTCGTTGTTACAAGAAGTAAATGAATCACTGAGTGAGGAAGAATCCACTGACCCCAATTCATTGACTCTGAGTTCCGCTCATGGTCAGGCTCAGAACCCAGAAGATAATTGTCAAAGCCTGGAGATAAAAGAATCTGAAACCAATGCAGCAGAGGATCAAGATTTCGACTCAAAATCTGCCCCTGTAGGAGAGACTGGAGAAGTCAAGGACGTGACCAATGTAGAAGAAGCTGCTAAACCCCAGGTATTGACCCTGAGCTTGTCTGATGAACGACAGTCTATGATAAGTTGCAAGGACTCAATAATGTATGGGGCGGAGGGCGATTACACAGAGAAATTCAATTTTGAATCAGACTTCAGCTCAGAAGAAGATTCTGGTGATGACATCAGTGAAGAAGAATCTAGTGAAGATGAGACTATGGATGAAGAATCATTCGAGGATAAGAAAAATGATTATATGCAAGTGAGTGAAGGGGGTGATTTAAGTTCTGAAAACTCTATAGCAGAAGTTGACACGGCAACCCAGTTAAATCCTTTGTCAGATGAGATACCAAAATCTATGAAAGTAGCTCAGGAGGCAATGCCAGTAGAAGAAATTTCTATGGTTACCAATAACCACGAAGGCACTCCAAAATTGCCACCATTGGCAGCAGCTGACCAACTTCCGCTACAGTTTCCTCGTCCAACTCTCTCAAAATCCGGCAAGTCTCCAGGCAAGAATCAATCGGCAATTATGAACTACATCTTTGATGACAACGAGGAAAAAGACATTGAGAGTAGTGATAAGTTTCTCGGAGGAGTTGAGATGAAGAGAGACACTGACACCGTGCAAAAAGAACTTGATACTAAGAGTCTAAGGCAGCTGAAGAAAATGCTGAAAAATCAACTAAATATTGGAGACAGTAAGAATGGCACCAAGGTGAGGCTTCAAATCTCTCTCTCTCTCTCTCTCTCTCTCTCTCTCTCTCTCTCTCTCCCTCTATTCTTTCACTTGAAATTTTTAGATTTCTGTACTATGATGTCTTACTGATAATGTTTCTTTTTGATGATGTGCTGCAGATGGTAGAGAAGCCAAGAATTGCCTTGCAGGAAGTCCCAGAGAACCAAATGGCTGTGAACAAAGCTGGCAATGGAAACTGATTTTGGATGTGGTCCTCTAATTGAATTTTGGTTGTGAAGAGTCAATGTGTTGAGGGGGGTTAAACCTTGGTTTGCCTCCTTTAGAGTTTTAAGATAACTTTGGGAGTTCATTTTGGTCATTGAATCTTTAAGGTCTTTTTAATTACTTGAGTAATAATGTAGCTCACCCACCCAATCCTTGATGGTGGGCTTGGAAGTTGTCAATTTTGCTTATTGATATATACTATTGACTTCTTGGCAGCATCAATGTGTTCCAGAATTCAATTCTCTCTCTCTCTCTCTCTCTCTCTCTCTCTCTCTCTCTCTCTCACATTCATCACAGAACAAAGCTGACTGAAAAGGTAACTATTAGGCATCGCAGTACATTGGGAACACGGACTGACAGTTTTTGTACCTCTGTTTTTTTGCTTGTTCTAAATCTCCATACACACTGGTAACTTCTCAACAATATCATATTTTGCTTCTACAAAGATCATTCTGTTTGGAAATAAATCCTAGAGTTTTTTAACCACTAATTAAGGTGGACAAAGGAGCATAGAAAGTAGACTTCGGTGGCAGCAAAATTAGCCTCAATTGGGTCCCAGTTTCCTATAATAAAAAAATTTATAGTCTTTTGGCAGTGGGAGAATGATCAGGCAGGCCAATATGAATAATGTTTAACCCTCAATACTCATGTGGCCAACGTATGAAATACGAATACTTTATACAAATTTTAGACAAAAAGGCGAGGAGATTTGGTTCGTTGTGTTGGGCTTAATTTTGGGATAATGACAAGGATAAGGAATGAACTTTATATCTCTTTATTTATAGGGAATTTTAACAAGATAATTACGAGGCGGTCACCTTAGCTCAGAGCCGAGCCGTTTGTGTCACACCAAGCTGTTAGGTGGCAAACAGTCTAGAATCATCCACAACCTCTTTTCATGATAACTTCACGAGTCTTTGCTAGGAGCAAGGGTGGAACCATGAATTTTTTAATGGGTGAGCTAGCTAAAGTTATTAGCTTAAAATTTAATGAATATTTTTTTGGTACTTCAAATTTCTCTAGTCTTTCTAGAAATAAAAGTAAACATTAAATCATATATACCAAGCTAGTTCATAACTCCATAGACTAATTTTCAATAAGTTTTAACATAAACTAAATAGGGTTTAACACCATAGTGGATTGAACATCTAATGCTTTTTACCTAGATTGACCTTAGGTTCCTTCATGCATTTATATCATACATGAAAAGTTGTTTTATGTAAAAATATTGACTAAGTATGAAAAATATGTTTTCGAAATTATTATTTTCTCAAGATAATTTTTGGCGGCTTTTATTCCTCACACATCAAATAAGAAAATTTGATTTTATGGGATTTTAGTATGAAATATATATTGACTTAATGAGCCATCATTTTTAGCTTAAATTGTATTTTTCACTAAAACCGATTTTTCATATTTTGACTTTGTGGGAATTTGATTTTTTAGTATTTTTATTTTAATCCAAATGGGGGATACTTCTTTATTTACATTGTAAACTTAAGTAAATTGAATAATATAAAAATAAATAAAAGTAAAATGACAAAGACATTTACTTAAATGTTGAAAATGGAAATAAGGTAATATGTACAGCGCCAATAACTAGGCTAATATTGAAAATAAGTTAAATATATAGGTTTTATATTTTTTTTCTTAAAAAATCACACTAGGCTATAGCCCACTGTAGCCTTTAGTGTGGTCCCGCCCATGACTAGGAGGCAGGTACAAACAGAGTAGTATGTAACGCACAACTGTAGTCCCATTTGGTCAGGTGGTGGATTAGGTGGTTTACACGTGGCTTTGGATAGGACATGGGCGCTCTTATGAGAGGTGGTGAACCCATTGTTAGGGGAGGTTTTGTTGTCGATGTGGCTGATTCGCACCCTTTCGAGTTTCCCCAAGGTAGCTCCAAGGCTGAGGTGGAGGATGGTTCGGTCATTTTATGCCAAGTATTACGCAAAGTCCACGTGTTCTGTCTTTATTGGTCAGACGAGGACATATACTGAGTGTCAACAAATAATGTGCATCTTGATTTCTAAAGTTACTTTCTCCAAAAAGAAAAGGAAGAATGAAACTTCAAAGTCGTAATGCCTTTTTTAGTGTCGTTGTATTCAAAGTCAACGCTGGAATTTGAATCATTTTAACGACATCTATTTCAAGGCCCAAACTCTCCCAAGGCCCAAGCCCCTCTCGCTCACGCACTAGTCAATATAATTATAAATTTAAATAAGATGGGCGGGGAAAATCCACAAAACCCGACAGTCTCACTCTATTCCCAATTTTCAAATCTCTCTCTCTCTCTCTCTCTCTCTCTCTAATCTCAGTTTCAGGTTCACTTCGATACTCTTTCTAAAATGATCAGCAATTCCCTTTTATATTCAGATTGAAGTTCAGGATTTCATTTTTATGCCTTTATTTGTTACTTTCCTAATCTGCTTTCGTTTTATTTGGTTGTCTGGTAAAGTATTCAGCGATTCATTTATTTTACTTCATTTCTCTAAGCAACCAGACAGACACAATGGTTTCATTTTCATGAAGATTAGGGTTGTAGTTTCATTTTCAATTTAGGATCTAGAAGTTATTATTTAATTTCCGAATAATTTGAGTTGGGGTGATAAATGGGTAGTCAATTTATTTCGTTATTTTTTAAAATTCAAAACACAAATTGGTTATATTGGAGCATAATTATGACAATTCAAGTTTGGTTGAGTTTAGCATTTTTGTATTACCTGTATGGTTTTTGAACCTAGATTTGCATAAATTTTTTACTAAACCAGCTAGAAGCTGCTTCTGAAGTTGACCGTTAATCAAAGTTTATCATTACTTAAGGAGATTAGTTTCCAAATTTTTATCTAGCAATCATGAATGAGTTTTATGAGAGCGGCATCAAATTGGTTTAATAGTTCTGGTGCTCGTTTATCTTGCAGGACTGAAAAGGGTAGAGATATATTATAGCTGCAGACTTACAGGATGGGTGTGGAGAACTACCATGTGATTGAGCTTGTAGGCGAAGGTTCCTTCGGGAAGGTATACAAGGGAAGGCGCAAGTACACCGGGCAGGTACGTACCTTTTGCACTTCTAATTTTTCGTTATCTGTTTTTCTTCTTTTTTGTTTATGCGGGTTCCATGTTTTTATCACTGCTTCAGACTGTTGCAATGAAATTCATCATGAAACATGGGAAAAGCGACAAAGATATTCACAATTTAAGACAAGAAATTGAGGTATTGGACTCATTTTATCTCAAATCAAACAAAGTTTACAATTAAAACTTCCTTGATTTCATTTATCATTTATGATTGATATTCTGATATTCACTGTTCCCAAATGTGCAGATCCTAAGAAAGTTGAAGCATGAAAATATAATCGAAATGCTTGATTCCTTTGAAAGCCCACAAGAGTTCTGTGTTGTCACAGAATTTGCACAAGTACTGATCCCTGTATTCACTATAACTGCATTAATTTATCTAGACTAGCTTGTTATTTTGGAAACTCTTGCAGATGCACAAGAATATCTAGACTCTTGTGGAATAGGTTCAGACGCATTAACTATCAATGAATTTCTTGATATGCAGGGTGAGCTATTTGAAATTCTTGAGGATGATAAGTGCCTTCCCGAAGAGCAAGTTCAAGCGATTGCAAAGCAGTTGGTACTTTCTTTATTACGAATTTTGGTTCCATCTCAATTGTTTTTCATATTTGGCTGTCTAGTCTTTCCAGTTGTGGGCTATACTTTTTCCTTAATTGTTCACAACAAATATAGTAAACTTTCTTTGTTACTGAATGTTACAGGTGAGAGCTTTGCATTATCTGCATTCCAACCGTATCATTCATCGTGACATGAAACCACAAAACATTCTAATTGGTGCTGGTTCTATTGTCAAGGTTGATTCTACTGATATCTCTATATGCTTAACATAAATTTATGAACAACTGTAGCGAGTTACTTCATTTTGTTAACCAATCTTATTGTTGTTGCCTTTTGTCCCCTCGTTCTACTTTATACATGTGGTGTGCTGATTACAAGAAATAGCCATAGTGGGTTAACATAAACTTCATCTATGTTTAAATCATGTACAGTTTTTCTTTTGCGTTATTATCATTAGTACTCTGCAGTAGATATTTGGAGTATCGTCTCGAAGCTGAGTACCCTCGTCTGTCTCATGTTTGTTTTCATGTCCATCATATGCACTATAGCACTGTCTTTTGTAGCAGACAAAGGACTATTGCTCTATTTTCTATATAGTAATTTATTTCTTCATTGCTATCCTTTCGCAGTTATCATTTATATTATATATTTATGTTGTTAAGTTCTCATGGTGAGATATCTAATTAGTTCCTTTTAGAACTTACACAAGTATCCTTATGTAAGTGCATAAGTGCATGTCTGCTTTCAGATAACTTATAAATTCTGTTGTTTGTTACAGCTCTGTGATTTTGGGTTTGCACGCGCAATGTCCACAAATACTGTTGTTTTGCGATCCATTAAAGGTTAGCTTACTATTCTAAATTAACTTTTAGGAAACTTCCTGAAGATCCTGGAGGAACTTTGCTACTTTGTTTGCCCATTCAGTGAAGTCTTCATTAATGTTCATTAGGTACTCCTCTGTACATGGCACCTGAACTAGTACGGGAACAACCCTACAATCACACCGCGGATTTATGGTCTCTTGGAGTAATATTGTATGTTGCATCCTTACTTCTTTCTTTCTATTAAAACAATTTCCTTGATTTTCTATTTAACTTGTCTGCTTCTGATTTGTTAGATTTTGACCCATGTTATAATATATTCTTTCCCGTTATGTGCTTTCTATTTAATCTATTCCTTCAAGTTATGTGCTTTCTTTCCTTATTTTTTTTAAGGATTTCATACAGGAACTAATTGCAAATTTCCATATATCATAATCGAAATATAAATATAATTTAGATTGCAAGTTCCAGCCTGTTTGGGTTTGCTCTGTTTTCTGCCATATCTTTTTTTTCTTTTCTTTTTCCCCATATTTGTTGAAATATATATATATTTTTTGTGTACTCAACAGATATGAATTATTTGTTGGCCAGCCTCCATTTTATACAAATTCTGTATATGCACTCATCAGGCACATTGTTAAGGTACATGTAATCAAATCTTTGTATGATTTAGGTATTTCAAAAAAAGTATAATCTAATGCTACTTTGAAATGTTTCAGGATCCGGTTAAATACCCTGACAACATG